TCATATTGTAAGGAGAAATTAGTTCCAGGCCACTCCTCGGAGTTAAAGGGCTATCTGAAATAGCACTTCTCCTTTCAAAGCTCACCGATTAGCCGATTAGTTGGAAAAAAAAAAAAGAAAGAAAGAAACTTCTCTGAGCAGTGCAACAGCCTCTTCAGGTAAATACATTGTCTGCGGTCCAGCCTTCGAAACATCAAAGATAGGAGAAAAACAAGGACTTCTCTTTTGGTCAACGACTTTTCATACCATTGCTGGGGAATTCCTAAAATAGAGAACTTTACCCTTTAACCTCTAGCAGAGACGGACTTCTAGTTTCTCCTTACAGTAACTCTCTTGAATCAAATGTAAAGATGATGAGACTAAAGAAAATGATCGCAAAGCTTAGAAGCTCCTGATTGTCACACAAATTCTTGTCAGCACCTAAGGAAATGTCTAGTGAAGAGAATGGAGAATATGCCTACTGATGTTGTGGGTGCACAAGGGTAATACCTAAGTTCCCACTAGTTTCTTGGTTCACTGTATTGTTTTTTTTTTCTGTCACCTTTAATCCCAGGCACATATCACAAGCATCTTGCGTTCAAAGTTCTCCAGCTTCAGGAATTTTGACACGGCTTTGTACACATGTGCTCCAGAATTCGACTTTTTAGATCCAGAGGTTGGTGATCTCTTGTTGTTCGTGTGAGGTGAAGAATTTTTCATCTGTGAAATATCACTGAGCGAATTTTCTCAGATTAGAGAGAGCTCCGTACAGCAGATTCAACAATTTTGACTTGTGTACTCTTCATTTACCTTGATTTTATTCTTTAACTTCGCCATACATTTATCTTATTAAACATTTTGTTGTGTATAGTATCGCGGAGTATTTTTACGAGTTCTGCCGTATTTTGACGAGCCCGCAGGGCTTGTTAAAATAAATATAACAAGTAAAAATACTCAGCGATACTTCACAACGAAACGGTTAATTAGAGATTTATTATCCAACACGCCAAATTGTTATTTCTGTGCAGGGGAATTTCGTGGATATTTATTTAAGGGGAGTACGTGACAGAAGTACGCGAAGCGAAACGGAATTGGAGCCGTTATCTGGAGTTCAAATACCGCGAGATATTTGTTCTCGTTTAGGGCGTTATTTGTACTCTACGAAGCTCAGTTGGATAATGAACATATTTATTCAACGTATTCCAGAGGGGAAATTTTATGGCCGAGATCGTTTTATGAAGGCTCCGCAACTTTTCATTTACACCACAAGTTACTCTGCTTATGCTATATTCACCTTTTGATACCGTGCCACCGAAAAAAACAGAGAAGTAAGAATTGAAGAAAGCCAATGTGTACCTGACTGTTTGACCAGACTTTCCTACCTTGAGCTGCGATCTTATTCCTAGAGAAATTTAGTGAGCAGCGACATGCAGTTCCAGTTTCTTTCAAGTGTTTTACTCCTGTTGATAAATTTGTTTGACGTGTGTTCTCTTTATTCTTGGCAATGAATTGTGACTAATAAATGTTCTAAATGTTTGAAAAGCGTTTTCAATGTCGCGAGCAAAAATAGTCAGTTCAAAGTCACCGAAAAACGAAGTCTGCGTGGATTTCACATTGTTGGAGTTTTTCATGGCACGCTATCGGTAACATGCTCCGCATATCGCTTGCCTTTCGTGTTCAACACTTTCGCCTAAACACACTCGCTCATCAGAAACTCGAACGTCTTTCAGCAGAGAGGGCTGTACCCGAATCGTCTATTTTATTGTTCCTCCAAATAGAACCCGATAAAGTTGACCAAGACGTTGCTGTTACCGGCTGCAATCGTGTCTGTCACAGCTGTTCTACTAAAGGTAAAAAATCGTTAAATGTTCATAACATTTTAGCAACAATTCGTATCGTTAAATGATATCCACATAAGTTTCCCCTGGAAATTGTACTTTTTACGAAAGCTTGTACGCTGCATATTTTAGCAAAGAAAACTTTTCAATGAAGTGTTTATTTGCTGAAGCACGTTTTCCTTAAAATCCTTCACAGCTCTACTTGGCCAGTGTCCTGTCCTGTGTTCCGCATCTACACCAGCGAAGTTTGTCTCTAAGAAATTTTTTTCCCTAAAAAAGTGTCCTTCTTCAAAATCTTGCTCATGACTGAAATCCATGTTTTTAGCACAACTGACTCATTTCGTTACATATAGGCGTTTCTTTATCAGTTAGGTCACTATTTGCAGACAGCAGTTTCAAGAAAGGTTGTTGGAAAAAAGCACAAAAGTGCACTCGACAATCTCGAAAGGTAATCTGGGTATCAGGTGATCAATTGATTTTTAATAAATTGCTGAAGTCTAGGAACCGTGACCTGAAAACTGCCCTCCATACTTTTAGGAGTTGTCACGTTTTTCCTCGACAACTTTTCTTGAAACAGCTGTAATTAATCTCATTTCAATAACCTTACAAGTCCATTAACCTCCATTTTAGATTCTAAAAAATGAGTGGGATATCATGATGGCTACGAAAGACAAGAAAGAAAATCCTAAAATGTCAGATCCTGAATCGGATGAGGAGGAGACAGAAGACCTCAAGTAAGACGTCTTGAAAAGTTTTCCTCGAGACAGTTACAACTTGTGTTAAACCGGGTGTAACTAAATGAAAATCAGTAAAAGATAACTGAAAAACTAATTTTCCTGAATTTTTCTCATGATAGGTTTCATGTAATTACTAACTTGTATTTCGATATGTTAAATTTGAAGTCGATAAACTTTGGTTTAAGCTGCTTCTATGAAGAAAACAATTTTTAATCGTGTTCAACAAAGCAGCTTTAAAACATGTTTAAACTTTGGTGGGAATGGAGTATTAGTTTTGCGGCCGGCTTTATAATGAGATAAGTTAAAGAAGAGATTATTGACTGAAAGTCTTATTTTTTTGAAGGAAGAGAGTGAATCTTAAACCTCACGCAGAGGTAAGGACTAGAAAATTAAGCTTCTCACCGAATTATACCTAATCTTTTTCC